ATATGTTTTCCAAAGTAATGATTCAAATATTTTTTCCTCAAAACTTATCACTACTAAAAAAAATCTGATTAGTGACAGAATTTACTGACAGAATTTTTATTTAGCTACGGAATTAGCGACGGAATCATATTACCGACGGAATTAGCGACGGGATTGGTTCCGTCGCTAATTTTTTCGTCACTAATTGAAATTCTGTCGGTAATTACCGAGGGAATTACCGACGACATCGGTTTCGTCGGTAATTACTAACGGAATTTACATTCCGTCACTAATTACCGACAGAATTCCGATTCCGTCGCTAATATATTTTTTTAAAAAAAATTAAAATTCCACCCCGCCTTCGCCATCACATGTCACCAACCTCATCTCCACGTGTCGCTACCACTTCGCATTCGCCACCACGTGTCAGTGCCACCTCACCTCTGCCGCCACGTGTCAGTGCCATCTCATCTCCACATGTCGCTACCACCTCAGCTCCACCGCCATGTGTCACGATCTTATCTCCACTTGTCCCAGCCACCTCACCTCTACCACCATGTATCGCTATCTCATATGCCACTTTGTATTGCCACATGTCGCCACCATATCATTTCTCCTCAAAGTGACTTCTCCACAGCCCGAACCAAAGACTTCGTTTGTACATGCGTGTGACTTCACCAGTTAAGCTGCAATGAACTTACTGACTTATTATGCAAATATATATATATATATATATAATATTCTCTTACACAAATAATTATATATACACATATATATTATTAGAAACTAAAAATAAACTATATGATAATTTTAATCATAACTATTTTTGTAACAAAATAATTTTTAGATATTTGTTTTACTATTTATTTTATAACGCTTTATTTTTAAAAAAAATTATTTTAAATATAATATTAATTTCTAATGACACTAATTTTAGATTTTAAATAGTAAATAATTTTTTCATAAATATATTTTTTAAATTTAATTCCTTTATTTAATATTCATAAGATATATAATTTAATTATATATTTATTATATTATTATATTATATTTTAGCCACGGAAATTAGCGACGAAATAATTTCTGTCGCTAAATTAGCCATAGAAAAGTATTCCGTCACAAAACTTAATTATAAAATTTTAGTCACAAAATTTTCTAATGGAAGAAATTCCGCAACTAATTCCGTGACTAAGTTTAATTATAAAATTTTAGCCGCAGAATTAACCACGAAATTTTCTGACTGAAAAAATTCTGTGGCTAATTTTAATTATAAAAGTTTAGTCACGAAATTTTCCGATAAAAAAATTCTGTGGCTAATTCCGTGGCTAAACTTTTATAATTAAAATTAGCCACGGAATTTTCTAACGAAAAAATTTCCGTGACTAATTGCATGGCTAAGTTTAGCAACAGAATTTCCGTGGGTAATCCGTCAGAAATTAGCGACGGAAATTATTCCGTCGCTAATTTTGTCAGTAATTAACTATTTTTTTTGTAGTGTATTTTAAAGAACTACTTCACTAATTGTTCTAAAAACATAAAGATAACGAATAAAATCAAAGAAGCCTTTAGCTTCTCTTCTGTAGCACCCTCAATGCACGCAACTATAGAAGGGCTCAAAATTTTCAGGCTACTAACTTCGCCTAAACTTGTAACAATTTCTGAACCGAAAGGAAAAAAGTTGACTTGGAACAGTTTCCCACCTTATTCTGGCCAAAAATAAAAATATTCCACATGATTTAAAAATAAAATTAATGACATTTTAATTAGGTATTTATCCGTAGCCTAATATCCCACATGATGGAATCATTAGAGATTAAAATGATAAGACCCCATTATCTGTTTTGCATTAACAACTCAATAAAAAAAATACCTTAAACACATTATACTTAATTTTTGTTGACCCATAATATTAATACGACTTAATAATATGTAAATTAGAACTTTAAATTTTTCAGGTAAATCCTACAAATATTTTTAATTTAATGTAAATAATCTTTATGGAATTAAATTTTCCGTTATTTCATTAGCAGAATGTAATTTGACAGATATTTATTTGCCGATAATGTAGAAAAGATAAGATTATTTGCACTAAACTCAATTAAGAAAGTTATATCGATTTCGGTCCCAAAAAAAAAGAAGTTATATCGATTAAAAAAAGTAAATAGGGTATGTGATAAATAAGCTATTTCGGATTCTTAATATAAGAGCTAATTGACTAATTTGAGTAAATTAAGAAAGTTTACTAAGTTAGTTATGTGTAATAATTAGGTATTATCTTTCCTATATTATTTGTAATAATTAGGTGTTGTCTTTTTTATATAATACTCTTACTAATCATATATTAGCTAGAACTATTATTTGATAAAACTTTTAATATGTACAACTACAAGGACTATTTTGAAAAAATTAGATAAATATAAGAGACAAAATGAATTGGGTTTTATATTTAGGAACAAATAAAAAGTTAAACCCTTATATTAAAGACCGGAGGTAAGGTATTATACTCGATCTATCGGGAATAACAAACTAATTAATTATTTGTATGTATCCACGCACAAATGTAAAAAAATTTAAAAAAATTCTTATCAAATGTAAAGGTTCAAAATCGAAGTTACTTATATAGGGAAGGTGACAGTTAAAATCCAAAAGAATTAGTTAATTACAGCTAGCTCGCTACTTCAGAAAATTTTTTGAAAAATAAATTACAAATATCGAATCGAAACAACTGCGATTCCAGGAGTACTTTTGATTATAAAAAAAATATTGAAGTTTATAATGTAATTTTCAATTTCCAACTACTCATTTGTCATAAAGTTTACTTATCTAGCTGCCATTAATTAATCTTTTGGCCCTTTCTTACTTATACATACGTGACTCAACATTTATTATGTGTAATTTAGTCTATCATCATCATCTTGTGGTCTTGCTGGCCCGTCTAGAGGCTTACATGTAACACATAGAGTACTTGTGTGATAAAGTTTTATGAAATATGTGATAAATAATATTACCTTCGATCCTCAATATAAAAACCAGATAATTAATTTGAGGATATTAAAAAAATTGATTAAGTTGGTTAGCTTTCATAAATATATGTTGTCCTTCTTAAATCATTCTCTTTAAGCATTTACATTGAAATATAGTAAAAACCTCTTACGATTAAAAATAATATTTTGAAAAAGAGAAAAGAGAGACAATGTAGATTAAAATATTATATTTAGAACTAAATTTAACTCTCCTATTAGATTTTATACTAGTATATTATTCTCTAATAGGATAAAACAACATAGACTAATTGTATTCACCAGCAAAAAAGACATAGAATAAGAGGGCTTAGATGGAAACCAAACTATTATTTTAAAAGTGATTTTATGGTATATAAAATAAATATGTGAATGAGTTTGTCTCTATTTATGAAAAAGTAATTTATAAAAACACTTATAGGTGTTCCAAATGCCCCCTAATTGTATGTGTATATGGGACTTATATACTTGCACAAACTTCAAATTCAAAAATTTAAATAAAAAAAAGAAAATTCTTATTAAAATTAAAAAAAAAGTTGGGTTAATATTATTTTTAATCCATGAAATTCTACCTCATTTTGATTTAATTTTTAAAATTTGAAATCTTGTTCTAGCAAGGAAAAATACTGTTTTAAGGACTAAAAAGGAAAAAAATCTCTTGGTAGAGTAAAATAAAATTAAATTTCAAGTATCAAAACCACTTATTTTAAATTTTAGAAATAAAAGAATTAAAACCAAATAAAATTTTAAAAATTAGAAATAGTATTAATTAAAAAAATTCCAAATCAAATTAAAATATTAAAAAGTTACTATTATTTGTAATTATAATTATAATATCTTATTTATAATTAGAATCCGAGAAACTAGCTCACACATGACTCGTAAAACTTGACAATGTAGTAGCTAGAGATTCGATATGACGTGTAAATTTGTCTATCATCGTGGATTGAGCTGCGGCCTAGAATCTCCTACGTACGGATCAAAGTGCTTCATTGAAACCAACATACGGTATGAACATGTCACGTCGCTGACATAAACTGTATTATATATTTAACATAAAAACTAATTAACTAATTTAAATTAATTAAAAAAATTTGTTAGTTATTTATTAATAAATAGATATTATCTTTTTTAAAATATTCTTGTTAACCATATGTGTTAGAACTATCATTTAATAAAATACTTAATATATCCAACTATTACAAAAAACTACTTTAAAAAATAAATAAATATGAGAAACAAAATGGATATTAGAGTCTCATATTTAGGATTAAATTAAAATTCCAACAAGCCCTTATATTAATACTATCTCTAGTCTTTAATATAATAGTTGGTTGACTAATTTGAGTAGTTTAAAAAAATTAGTTAAGTTAGTCATTTGTAATAAATATTTGTTATTTTTCCTAATATAACTTGCTAATCATGTTTATTAACTCGAACTATCATTTGATAAAACTTTTAACATGTGCAATACTACAATAACTATCTTGAAAAGATAGATAAATATGAGATACAAAATAGGTTGGGATCTTATATTTAAGATCAAATTAAAAGTCAACATGGTTTTATACTACCTCTAGTCTTTACTATAAGACTTTGTTTGATTTTATTTTGATTCTAAATACAAGACCTTAATCCACTTTGTTTCTTATATTTATGTGTTTTTTTAAGATAGTCTTTCTAGTAATTCTAGTTAATACACTTGATCAGTAAATATATTTTAGAAAAATAACACCTATTTATTACAAATAACCAACTTAACTTATTTTTTAATCTCCTCAAATTAGTCAAATAGGTCTTATAATTAGGACCGGAGTTACTATTAAGTAACGAGTAACGGACGCGGTCATATTTTGTCCACTTCCAAACTCTGACCCTTTACCATATATATAAAGGTGGATCCGAGGATATTCATTTCAACACAACATCCATATTTTCTCTCAACTCTCTAATCCTCTCTCACTTACAGATCCAATACACTCACACAAACCCTGCAAAATGATGGCATCCAAACTTCATGTTTCTGTGGTTAGTAGCCAAAAGAGTGCCTCCATCAGTAACAGTGAGAAATTAAGAGATAAGAGAAGAGTGGCCAAAATGCAGACCTCGGCAAGGGCTCAAGCTCAAGCTGCTGAGGTAACTACTCCTAAGGAAAGTTCGAGGACGTCTAAGTTGCCTGAATTGATGACCTCTTCAGTGGTCTCCAGCAAGAGGCCTTTCTTCTTGGAAAGATCCCTTCAGGTCCAAAAGACCCAACCCAATTCAGCTGGAAAGTTTGGTAAATTTGGAGGCAAGTTTGTATGTGAGACTCTTATTGCTTGTCTCGACCAGCTCGAAGCTGAGTTTGCAGAAGTTCTTCGCGATGAACACTTTCAGGTGATTAAATTCTTATATCCTATATATAATTATCTAATGAAACTGCCAAGAACACAAGTTTTAAATATATTATTTTCATGATATATCAGTCTTGCTAGTCTAACAATGAAGAAGATATATTGTGTGTGTTTGTGCGTGTTTGTGCGTGTAGGAAGAGCTAGCGGAGGCACTCAGAGACTACGTTGGGAGAGAAACACCTCTGTATCATGCTCGGAGGTTGACAGAGTTCTACAAGAGCAAAAATCGCGGCGAAGGGGCTGAGATATTCCTCAAGAGAGAAGATCTTTGCCACGGTGGCTCTCACAAAATGAACAACGCTATTGCTCAGGCCATGATCGCCAAGCGCATCGGCCGGAAACTCGTCGTGACAGCTACCGCCTCCGGCCACCACGGGATAGCTGCCGCCTCTGCTTGCGCAAAACTGGGATTGGACTGCAAAATCTTCATGGCGGCTAAAGACATGGAACAACAACAATCCAATGTTCAATTGATAAATTTGTTGGGTGCTCAGGTAAGTACTTACTGTTCATAATTTTTTTAAAAAAAGAGTGAATTACAATAAATAATAATTTCTGAAACTTGTTTTATACTTTTCTAATCTTTAGTATAAGACCTATTTAACTAATTTGATTAGATTAAGAAAGTTAGGTAAGTTAATTAATTACAAGAAATATGATATATTTTTTGTAAAATACCATAATCATCTTCCTTAATATCCTCTCTCCCTCTTCTACTTGATTATGTTTGAGTAAATATCCATAAGGATAATTTAGAAAAAATTAATAAATATGAGAAATAGATATTATATATATGACCAAAACAACTCAACAATTAGATCCTATATTATATTAAGGATTGGAGGAGTAATTATTTTTCACTCTTATGATTTGATTGTAATTTTCTTTTTAAAAAACTCGGTACTTTAATTGTTTGATAGGTAGGAGGAAAATGGAAGGGAGCAAAAGAGAGAAAATTTTAATGAGGTTGTTTTAAAAAATTGGGAAAATGGTATAAAATGTTGATAAAAAGAAAATATAAGATAAAAAAATGATTAATATTAATTAAAAAAATTTTAACCCCTCTTCTCTTATTTTTCAAAACAAACTTATTAAAAAATTTTCTATTATTTTCTCTATTTCCCTGTTTGGTATGCGAGAAATGGAGAGAAAGGGGTAAGAAAATTTTAATAAACTTAATTTAAAAAATTGATAAAATGGAGCTAAGAGTTTTTGATTATTTTTTTTTACTCTTTAATGTTATATATTCTTTTTAAAAAATTTTATAACCTCATTTTTTTTTAATTTTATAAATTCAGCTCGTTAAAAAAATTTGTCATGTCTTTTTCCCTCCAATTTTCTCGTACCAAACGAAGCTAAAAGATGATGCGACCTTTTCGTGTAAAATCAGGTTGAAGGGGTTGATGGGCAATTCAAAGATGCAGCGTCAGAGGCTCTGAGGAGTTGGGTGGGGAAGGTCGAAGAAAGCTATCACATGATGGGGACAGCGGTGGGGCCCCACCCATGTCCCACCATGGTCCGACATTTCCAGTCGGTAATTGGAAGAGAAACGAGGAGGCAAGCTCTGGAAAAATGGGGAGGGAAACCTGACGCGCTGGTGGCCTGCGTGGGGACAGGGTCAAACGCGTTGGGGTTGTTTCACGAGTTCATCGGGGATTCGGAAGTGAGGTTGGTCGGAGTAGAGGCCGGAGGGTTCGGGTTGCAGAGTGGAAGACACGCGTCGACTTTGAGTAAGGGAGAAGTGGGCGTTTATCATGGAGCCATGACCTATCTTCTTCAGGATGGGGATGGCCAGACTATTGAACCATACTCCGTCGCCGTTGGGTAATTTCATCGGACGGCCAGAATAATAAACTTTAAACTTACTTCAAATTTTACAAAAACTATATAGCAAAAAGATTCAAACTTTAAACTTTCTAACATGTCTGTCTTGTGAATAACCAGGATGCAGTACCCAGCGGTTGGTCCAGAGCTGAGCTTTCTGAAAGAAATAGGGCGCGCCGAGTTCTACTCAGTAACAAACCGAGAAGCTCTTGATGGTATGCATAAATGCCCTTCTAAATCCTATTCTTATCGATCCATTGTAATACTTGTTTATTTCAAACATGTATTTTAGATCACAATGGATGAATATGATCATCTATCAACATGTAACTTGATGGAATCCTAAAGTAATCTATTGATATGATTTTACTCTCAAGTGGCAACTAGCACTCCAAACTTGAGATACTCAATGGGTGCTATTGAAAAAAATACTCCTTTCGGTCTTAAATATAAGACTTATTTTGTAATGTAATTTATACTACAAAATGAGTCTTATATTTACGATCGGAGGAGTACTTTAAAATACCTTATACACCAATTTAGGGTATTAAGTTCTAGTAAAAAAAATATTTCATGGTGGTGAAAGCTATTTACTTCTATTATATAGATTCCAGCTTATGTAGTTGTGATTGAAAACTGAAAAGGGTATTATATCTTGAATTTTGGATCTAGAAGTTTAGGAATGAGCATGAAATAATAAGTAGGCTACTAAGTCTAGATGAGAAAAGAAGTCTCATATATATGTGTCCTGAAAGGATAGAACGATTATGTGGTAACAAAGAAAATGTTTGTTGTGGCAGCATATGAAAGAGTGTGCAGATTGGAAGGGATATACGCATCGTTGGAGGCATCACACGCGTTTGGGATATTGGAGAAATTGTTTCCGACTTTACCAAAGGGAGGAAATGTGGTTGTGAATTGTGGTGCCCGTGGAGATGAAGATGTGGACATAGTCTACAAAAACAAACTGTTTGATGGAGCACGTAAACGTACCATGGCTCAACAACAGGCTGAGCTCCAAGAAAGAGAAGACGTGTGCCTTACGTTGAAATATATGTAAATTGATGTGAAAAGTGAAATATATATATATATATATATATATATAATGTGTGAAATAATTAATGTTTAAATGATGGAATGCAAATTCTCAAATGTTGTCCATGTGTGTCTGTGTGTGTATTGACGTGCGGTTTAAATATATTAGGACCACTAGATCATTTCTTTCATTTGTTTGGACTGAAACAGTGGTTTTCTTCACTACATTTTTGGTACAAAGACGAAAGATGTAAGGTGTAGGCTGATGGGAAATGAAAATAACCACAGAAACTTTGGTTAAATTTACCAAAGGGCCCAAATGTTCTTTTGGGGAGGGACCGATGGGAATGGATCTCTACTCTACCCTCTCTCTTTTCCTTTATTATTAGTAGATTAACATTTTAGTGCTTCACGTACGTTTAACATTTTATAGAATTATTACTATAACTTTATTTGAAAAGCACATATGTAAATTTAAACTATTAAAATTTAATCAAAATAAACTTTACAATAATATATAATAATAGTATATAGTTGTAAACAGTTCAGCTCCAAGACTCTTCGAGTAAGGTCATTTTCCCCAGCTTTCTTAATAATTAAGCACAAGTGTGGTCGGTACGCCCTACCAATGGATTTTCCTTCGTTGGCTCGACATCAGTGGAATAAGTGGTGCAGTTCGCGTTTTACTCACACAAATATTGTGTCCCATACGCGTTTTGTGGCCCCCAACAGAAAAATCAACGGATATCACTTTTCAGGGGCCTGCTTCAAATAGTTTATAAATAATTTTTTAATCATAATTTACAAAATACGAAATTATTTTAATTTACGTAAAATATGTTAATAAGTATTTTTGAACATGGTACTAAACAGGTTTTTAGTGTAATTATGCCATTCGTACTTTGTTCCCACAGGAGAGAGAGAAGCCTATAATTTCATGTAGAGCGCACATATACATATGCGCTATCTGGAAGTTTTAATTCAGTAGCCTTGTGCACCGAGGAGTCTTTTTGAACACAAATTTATCTCAAAAATTTAAAATTATAGTAATATTGTTTCTATCGTTAAAAATGTATACAGTCACTGTTAGTTTTCCAACAGTTGGAGGTAGAAAACTTTTGATATAAATTTGTATCTTAAACGTGTAATATTTTCGGTTCTTAATATAAGAGCTAGTCTGACTTTCAATTTGATCATAAATATAAGACTCTAATCCACTTTATCTCTTATATTTATTCTTTTTTCTCAAAGTAATCCTTGTGATAGTTGTATTTAAAGGTTCTGTTAAATGATAGTCATAGCTTATACATATAATTAACAAAGGTATTCTAAAAAAGATAACATATTTTTATTACAAATAACTAACTTAACAAAATTTTTTAATTTATTCAAATTAATCAGCTAGCTATTATATTAAGAATCGGAAGTAATATATACATATTGAAGTAGAAGAATAGATATTAAAAGACTAGGAGTAAAATATTCTTCCCTCCCTTGCATTTCGTTCTAATTATACTAACATTCTTTCTATTTTGAAAACATACACTTAAATCCAAATTATTAAATCCATTTAAAATATTCTAAAAAGATACTTTTTTAATTAAAATTTATATTAAAATACTATTTATTTATTAATTTACCGTTAATAATGCTAAATCCCTAAGTTTTTGCTAAAAAGTTTTGAAGAATTTAAAATTGTTTTCCTTTTCCTTAACACAAGCTGTTTGATGGAGCACTTAAACGTACCATGGTTCAACAACAGGTTGAGCCCCACAACAAGAAGCAACAGAAGATGTGTGCCTTACGTTGAAATATTTGTGTGTAAATTGATGTGAAAATAATACACACACACATATTTTTCTGGTGTTAAATTACACTACAAAATAAGTTTTATATTTAAAACCGGAAATATATATATTGTGATCCGCCTGAAGAAGGACACATAAATGTGTGAAATAATTAAGGTTTAAATAATAAAATGCAAGTTCCCAAATGTTGTCCATGCGTATAGAAAAGTTGGTTAAATTTACCAAATGGATCAAATATGCACATTTTTTTGGGGTGGGCTAGGAACCGATGGGAATGGACCCCCACTCTACCCTCGTTTTTCCTTTGTTAGCATTAGAATAACATTTTAGTGCTTTACGTACATTTAACATTTTATAACATTACTTTATAACTTTATTTGAAAAATACATACGTAACTTTAAACTGTTGAAATTTGATTAGGGTAGTTTACAACTGTTATAAAAAAAGTTGGAAAAAAAGAGAGTAAACTTTATAATAATAGTATATGGTCTAAGATTCTTCGAGTAGCTCCAATTTTCCCAATTTTCCCAATAAGCACAACGTGTGGTCGCTTACGCTACCAATGGATTTTCCTTTCGTTGGCTCAACATCAATGGAATGAGTGGTGCAGTTCACGTTTTACTCACATAAATATTGCGTCCTGTATCACTATATGTGTGTCATGTGAGCCTTCAACGCCTGTCACTTTTGGTGTAATCGTGTGATTCGTATTTTGTCCTCACAAACAAACAGATCCAGAAACCTATAATTTCATGTACAGTGTAGTTAAGAAAATTTAAGTTAGTTATTTATAATTGTAGGAAAATAGGCCAGTCCACCCTTGGTGGATTGGGCCCAAGCCCATTAAATTTGGGGCTCTAATGCAAATAACATAACCTGTGGGTCTTAAATAGTTATTTGCAATTTTTCCTTCAGAATATGGATAAGGACAGACGGGGCGGTAGTTTTATTTTTCAGAGAGATAGGATCAGTTTAAATAAACTGATTCATTCAACCGGTTTAACTCCTTCCCGCCTGCGTACCTCTTCTCCTCTCCTCCTCCAACACAAAAGTGCATTTGCTGTGAACGTTGATTCCTATTCATTACTGTGATCGGAATTCCGCGCGTGGCTACCTAATCTGAGATTACTCGGCACTTCAGGTATGCCCGAATACCATTATTATTAAAATGAAGATCCTAATTTTAGGGATTTTTAGAGACAAACCATACCCCAATTGGACCATTCACGCGCCTACACGCGCCCCTAGAAGGAAGAGTTAGCGAATTTTTTTTTTTTAAAACTTCGCCCACTCTCGCTGTCGGCGCGTGTACGTCACGCGCCGCCATGGGTCCAGCAGAAGAGGACACGCGCCGTTACGGCGGCCCGAACGCGCCACCACCTTTCAGGTGGTGGTGTCCACGTGTCTATGAGGTGTGCCACGTGGCGGCACGCGCCACGTGGCAATTTTGGGAATTTTTTTTTTAAAAATCATTATATATATTTTGGTAATTTTAGAGACAATTTAGGATCCATTTATGAGTATTTTGGTGCGTTTTCTGGTGTTTTTATGTGGATAAAAAATTCCAGAATATTCAAAATAATTTATATTATTTTGTTCTAGGTGAAAATGGAGCAAGAGGCTTCTAGTGGCACTGAAAATACCGATCATGGTTCATTGGAATACTCATTCCTAGGTGATGGAATTCCAGAATATGAACCTGAGGATGAGGATCCTGAGGAGGACCCTGAAGAGGTTCCTCAAGAAGACCCAGAGGAGTTAGTGGCTTCCGGACCTGAGTCGGAAACTATGTTCCCCACTGAACCTCTCCCCATTGAACCTCAATTAGTCTATAAAGATTCACTGGATCTCCCTAATGAAATTGAAGTTGAGGAAGGAGAAGAGGTGAACCAACCTTTGACCCCCGCATTAGCTATGAGTATAGCTGAAAGAGATGCAGCAAAACTGACAAATATAAAAGGAATCAATGGCGTGCTCGCCAATTACATCCAATACATGACCGATAAGAAGAATACAGAATTCTACCTTAAAGTCATAATGAGGTACTCTGAACAATCAAAGGGATACGTTTTCATAGGTGAAAACGAAGATGGAACCGTGACTGAAATAGAATCAAGAGATGCAATATTCATTGAGACTGAATTTCCTAATAGAGGAGATGTTGACCGTACCGTTTCTCTTTATGAAACACAGGAACAAGACAGTACAGAACAAATTGACAAACCAGAATCGTCTAGGTGTGTCAATCTGAGTGGGAGCCAAGAAAGGTCAACACCAAGACCTGAACAAAGAAAAAAGGATAAGCAAAAAGCTCCCGTCAGAAGGAGTAACAGGGAAAGTGTTCCCAAAAGACGCTTTCAAATAGAAGGCGAATCTCTCTTAGTTACTCCAGAAGGGGATGATGAGCCCCGTTCTGTACGAGAAGCCTTGTCAGGTCCTGCGAAAGATGAATGGATAAAAGCTGTGGAAGAAGAAATGGACTCAATGAACAAGAACCAAGTTTGGGTGTTAGTTGATCTTCCAAAAGGGCATAGAGCCATTGGGAACAAGTGGGTTCTCAAAATTAAAAGAAAAGTGGATGGATCAATTGACAAATACAAGGCTCGATTGGTGGCAAAGGGGTACACGCAACAGGAAGGAATAGATTACGAAGATACATTCTCACCTGTTGTGCGTTTCAATTCTATCAGACTTATTTTGGCAATAGTAAACAGTTTAGATCTAGAATTACATCAGATGGATGTAAAAACCGCATTTCTGAATGGTGATCTGGATGAAGAAATCTATATGGAACAACCATTAGGTTTCATTGAAAAAGGAAAAGAAAATAAAGTTTGTAAACTCAAAAGGTCCATTTATGGATTGAAGCAGTCATCCAGACAGTGGTATTTGAGGTTTCACAAAGCGATAACCTCATATGACTTCCAAATGATAGAGGAAGACCACTGCGTCTACATTAAGCGGTTTGAGGGTAATTTTGTCATATTATCCTTATATGTAGACGATATACTATTAGCCGGAAATAGTCTAGATTCGGTGGTGGCTATTAAAGAATGGCTTTCGTCGAATTTTGAAATGAAAGACATGGGTGAAGCAGAATACATACTTGGAGTTAAGATCCAAAGAAATCGTTCAAAACGAATCCTCTCTCTTTCACAAGAGAATTATATCAACAAGATTCTTGAGCGATTTAACATGAAAGACTGCAATCCCATG